TCTTTTGTTAAATTTATTTCTAGGTATATGATGATTTTTGATGACGTGGGAATGTTTTTCATTTTTTCTGATTCTTTAGAAATAAATTGATTTTTGTAAATTGACTTTGCATTTGGCTAAATTCACTTACTTCTAGTAGTTTTGATTTTTTTTTTTCAATTTTCCAGGTACTATTACTGCCCTGGTTGCACAATGGTTAAGAGCTCGGCTGCTAACCAAAAGGTTGGCAGTTCGAATCCACCACTTACTCTTTGGAAATGCTATGGGGCAGTTCTACTCTGTCCTATAGGGTCACAGTGGGTTTGGTTTGGTTTTTGGATCATGTTCTTAGCAAATAAAGACAGTTTTACTTCTTTCCTCTTCAATATTTGTAACTTTATTTTTCTCTTTATTGCAGTGGTGTTTACCTCTAACACAGTGTTAGATAGAATGAGAGTGAACATCCTTCATATCTGAGGGTTGAGGGTGTTTGGTAGTTGATCATTAAAGAGATTAATTCTGGGTTTTTTTAATAGTCTTTTTCAGATTGAGGAAATTCCCCTCTATTATTAGTTTGCTGAAAGTTTTTATTATGAATGACTTGAATTTTATAAGATGCATTTTCAATATCTATGGAAATGAGTATATGGTGTTTCTGTTTTATTCTGTTAATGTTGTTAATTAATTGATTTTTGAATGTCAAATCAATCTTGAATTCCTGGGATAAACTCTACTTAGCCATGATGTATTTTCCCTTTATGTATTTCTAGATTCAATCTGTCGATGTTTTTCTCTAGGATTTTTGTATTTAGGTTGAGGGGGGACATTGGTATGTAGTTTTATTTTCCTGTCTCTTCTTCAGTCAGATTTTGGTAGTAGGGTCTTGGTAACCTTGTAAAACCAGTTAGGAAGAGCTCTTCTGCCCTTATTCTCTGAAAGAGTTTGTATAAGATTGCTATTATTTCTTCTTCAAGAGTTTGCTCTAGTCATCAGTGAGGCTATCTAGACCTGGAATTTCCTTTGTAGAAACTTTTGGCTTTTCTTTATCATTTCTCTGGTTATTGATTTCCGTTCTTTATTTCCTTCATCCTACTCTCTTTATATTTAATTTGCTGTTCTTTTTCTAGATTTTTGTGGTAGAAACTAAGATTGTTGATTTTAAGTATTTCTTGTTTTCTAATATTCCTTTAAAACTACAACATTTTCTCTAAGTGTGGCTTTAGCTGCATCCCTTAGGTTTTGAACTGTTTTCATTATCATTCTGTTGAATTCTTTTGAGGTGTATGCACCTGAAAACATTCTTGTTTTGGAGGCCAGAAGGATTAGTTTTGGTTGAAAACTGTTATGGGTATTCTAGTCCAAATCGTTTTATAATTAAATTCTACTTCTCTCAGCACTCAGTGAGATGGATTGGCACAGTGGCTGCAGCAATGGACTCAAACATAGCTAACGATTGTGAGGATGGCGCAGGCCCCGACAGTGTTTCGTTCTGTTTTACATAGGGTTGCTATGAGTCGGAAGCAACTCTGTGGCACCTAACAACAACAGTACATACAATTTTACCTTTACTACAAACCATTTTTGTGAACAAAATATATGTGTATATAATTCTTAGAAACATGTTTAAAGTGTACCCAAAAAAGCAAACCCATTGTCATCGAGTCAATTCTGATGCATAGCGACCCTATAGGACAGAGTAGCACTGCCCCATAGAGCTTCCGGGAGTGCCTGGTGGATTTGAACTGCCATCCTTTTGGTTAGCAGCCATAGCACTTAACCAGTATGCCACCAGAGTTTCCATATGGTAGTTTGTAAATACAACTTATTTAGTGGTTCTCCTTTTATAGTCATACGGATTTGGGTTATGCAGAAGGTTAATTGACAAGGTAAAAAGTAATATCTTCCTTGATTATATAAATTCAGTTTTCTCTTTTAAATGAATGTTTAGCACCATAGCTTTTATAACTTCTAGAAACAGGAAGATTCTTGTTAGTGTAGCCAGAATGTGAAGTGTTATCCTTTCCATTACATCCTTTGTTCAATTGAACTTTGGTTAACAAATTTAACTTTCTAGTGATTTTCAATAATTACTATAACAATTGGTGATTCGAACCAAGCTCTTAACCACTAAGCCACCAGGGCTCCACTATAGCAATTATAATAACCTTAGTAGTTTTTATATTATAGTTAGCATAAAAGTTTAAGATATTTTTGGGTAACATCGCTTTCTGGTATTGCTTATATAAGTGATTTCTTTTGTTACTGAATTTGATATTTCTTTTTATACCTTACAGTGTCTGAATACTTAAGATCTATATTTTTTCTCAAGATAAAATCTATCAGAAAGACTTTGTTTATTGTATTTATGGGACTGCAAAGATTGTACATGTGTTGGGGGACTTTTAAACGGAAATACTTTCCAAAGTATTGCCATATGTCTGAAATTAGTATCGAATTTGCATTTATCATTAACTTGGTACTAAGCATGTTGTTTCTCTACCTCTTACTCCTTTCAAAATATGGAATCATTCACTTCAAGTTTTCCACCTTATTTTCTAAACTTAGTAAGTTGAACAAGTTATTCACAATATTTCTAATGGATCTCGATGACATTCATTTTACGAAGTAAAATGTCTTCATTTTAAAGAACTTTTTTCATTAATCACAATGAATGTTGATATTTGATTTTCATTTGTTCTTATTTCTGATACCAAAGGTGTTTGGAAAGTGAAATTAATATTCACAAAGTTAGTCTGTAAAGACGGGTGCCTTTCAGAACATCTTAATTAAATTGAGTTTGAATCTGTAGACTTAAATGGCTGTTTTCTTATGCCGCATGTAGTCTTTCTTCCTGTTTCTGAGTCTTATCAACTTTAAATTCTTAATTCTAATATCTAACTAGCTGGCTAGCATGTGGTCCCTTTCCTTCTCTCCCACCAGCTCTGGTTCTGTGCAACTCATCATATTTTGGATTGCTTTTGTTTATATCACTTGCATGATTACATGTTATATTTTTTTAAGATTGTAACTTTAACAACATTTTATGTTAAATATTACTTATATATTAAGGCATAGGCTATAGATAGTGAGCATTGTCTGTTCATCCCCAAAACATTCTTCACTCGATCAGGAAAGAAAATCAACCTGTCTACATTCTTATTCTCTTTTTTGTTTTTTAATGAACTTCTGAAGAACAGTCTTCTTTTGAAGTCTGTACTTTACAAAACTGTAACTACATGCAGTCTGGCTTCCACTTTACTAAAACTGCTGTCTTCAAAGATCATGCATGTCCTCTAATACAGTTGTCATCTTTTTTATAAGTATCTTAGTATCTCACTTTGCTACTTAATTTTTACATTCTTTTTTCTTTGGTGTTTCTGCCACAATATTTTGACTTCCCTCTTGCTTTTCTCACGACTCCTTTCTCTTTCTCCTTTATTGTTCTACTTCTTCCTTGTAAGTTTCCTAAGCGACTGTCCTCGTCTCTCTGTAAAGTTTTTATCAATGATATTACAAAAAAGCTTAAACTGTCACCTCTGTGGAGTTGACTCCAAAGCTTTTCCTCAGAAATAGGATTTTTTTCTGTTCTCTCCACTCCGATTTTCAACTCCTGTGGTACTTTTGCTTCTTTAAGTCCTGTCAGCATCTGAAACTTTACCTATATAAAGCTTATTTCCGTTTCTTACACTACGTCCTGCTCTTTACTGTCCTTATATTCAGTTAATAGTATTATCAATTCATGTTTCTTGGCTCCTCCCTTTCAATTCTTTTTTTTTTTTTCTTCCTATTTTGTTTCCTGTCTACTGCTAGTTACCTCCATCATCCATCCCTTTTGCAGAGTTTTTGATCTTCTTATCTCCAGTCTACCTTATTTATATTTGCTAACATAAGTCTTCTTGAAGCACAGGAAAAAATTATAATCTTGCTGGAACCCCCTCATATCTGTTGGGATTCCTTAAAGTGATCTTCTAGCTTTTACTCTTTGTTTCCAACATGTTCAACCTTGACAACTTCCTATTTCTTAAATAAACTCATTCTGTCCTACTTTCTAATGTTGCTCTTTCCCCTTGAAAATTTTTCTCAAAACCATGTTCTCACAAATATTTCCACCTATAAATATCCTCCTGTCTCTAATGCCCTCACTAAGTACCACTCCTTTTTCCTTTTTACCACAAATGCTATCTAATCTCACTTGGGGATTTAAGAAATTACCCTTTTATTAGCCAGACCCCTCTTTTCCTCCAAAATACTTCCTCTGAAGCACTTTGAAACTTTCTTATAGCTATATACTGTAGTTATATGTATATCTCTTATTTCTTCTATAAGGTACATTCCTTCAGAATAGGGGACTATATTTTATTAGGTTATTTTATTTGTTTAATCCCTGCTGAGTCTAGCATCAGTTTTGCTACATAATATTGTACGGAATGGGTCCTATACAAGGAAACACTCATGAGGACGGACTCAAATGAGGACTGAAGAGCTAGAAGGGAAGCTTTTTCCTGTTTTGCACATGTGCAGAAACCCTGTCAGCCCCTGCATATAATTGGCACATGTGTAATCAATTAATTCAAGACCTTGTATGCAAATATTACTTACTGTCTTTGTCCACTTACTACAGTCTGCAAGTGGTTTTTTATTATGCCCTCTTGTCTATTTAGTCTGTGTCATTTCCTTTCTACCACCAATTTCTAGGTTTCTCCTGTTACATATCCAGTCTTACTCTCCCCATACATCAGTGTTGGATGCTGTCCATAAAAGATGGAAGTGATCTAGTGTTTCTTTTGCAGTATAATTGTTGTCATGTGACTTTATTTCTAAATCATTGTTCAGACCACTTCTCTCTTAAATACAGGTAATTAACACCTTACACTATCTGAATTTCCCCTATTTCTTTTATACCTGTACAGTCACCTTCATTTTTTAAGCCTTTGAATTTGTCATTGGTGTTTTTTTGCTCCACTTTAATTTATCATTTTCTTAGATCTGAGATTCAGTTTACCTTTGTTCTTATATTTTAGGTCGTTCTTCCCTCTTTCCGATAGATGATGGCTTACTGGATGATGGTCATAGTGATCAAGTTGGTGTTTTAAATTCACCCACATGTTATTCAGCTCATCAAAATGGAGAGCGAATAGAGCGCTTCTCTCGAAAAGTTTTTGTTGGTGGTCTTCCTCCAGATATTGATGAAGGTAAGGTGATGATTTGGGCTTTAAAAAAAAAACCTGAAGTATATTGTGAATGGGAGGGGGTAGGGGGTATGGAATTTTTATCTCTGGAGTTTTTTAGAGTCAAAATGGATATCCATCTCTGTTGAAATATTTTGGTCACCCATTGAACTAGTGACTTTTTAAATTTTTTTTTCTTCATTTTTTGTCTTATGGTGCATATTGTTACTGTGGGCATTGTTTTTAAGTAAGATTTTCATGCTCTAGATCATATCCAACTTATTTTTTTTACATAGAACTTCTTGAATATATAACAATTAAAACCTTTTTATGACCCTAACACATACACAAAATGAAATAAATGGAAACCAACCATGATACTGTATCTGCAATGCATGACAATCAAAAGGTTAATTTCCTTAAGGTAAATGCACTGTTAGACTTGAGTAAGAAAGAGGCTATAAAACCCAAAAGAGAAATGGAGAAAGAAGATAAACAGGAAATTCAAATTATATAAAATGTATGTGGAGATCACCCCATGTAGTAATAACAAAAAAAAAAACAATTCAAGATAAAGATTAAAAATACTGAAACTATTTAATGTTTGTGAGGTTGTGGGAAACCTGTCGCTCCCATTCATAACTAATAGGACTGAAGATGTTGCTAGACTTAGGGAAATTTTTCAGTTATGATTCAGATAGCCACAAAACAATTTTAGCATTAATCAGTGTAGTGAGTTTTGATGTAATAAAATAACTTAGAACATGTAATTGGATTTGACCTATATGTGTTTCAGTGAAACCACCTGCCATGTATCAGACCCTAGTATATTTTACAAGAATTATAACTTTTCAAGTCTTATTTCGACAGACTTTTTTCCCCCCATAAGAACATATTTTTACTTGTGAAACAGTAATGGATCTTTTTATTTAACTTGATAAAATGTTGGTGTGTTTCAAGCCAGTGTTATTTATGATTTTGTATACTATAAATCCATTAGTATTCATAAAATGTTATATTAAATTTTGAAATTCACACTGAATTGATCATTCTGGCCAATGTGCTGCTTAAAGTTGAATTTATTTTGACTAAAATACTTACCAAGTTTTGCGTATTATTTGTAATAATACTAGACATATTCTTACTGTTTATATTGTAGCTGATCTTAGGCTGTTTGGCACTTTTAAATGTTACACCTCTAGAGTAATTTGTAAAATACAGAACTTCTTAAAATGAATCATTAAGACTAATTCCTAATGCATATTATTGTACTTTCCTAAGATGAGATAACAGCTAGCTTCAGAAGATTTGGGCCTTTGGTAGTAGACTGGCCTCATAAAGCAGAAAGCAAGTCTTATTTTCCACCAAAAGGTAAGAGGTTTTATTGTTAATATTTGCTAGGGAATTGATTGTGTAAGAACAAAAGAGATGATATCAATTGCTTACTTTATGTTTTGTTTTCTTTTAGAATTGAATATGAGCACATCTTTATATAAACTAATAGAGCAATTTGAAAATGCTGGTAACATGTGTTGGAGAGGCAGAATGGTCCTAAGAACCATTTCAGTTGTACTTTAAGCCAGTAAGAAATCATGAGACACTTGCTGTGCTTTCTGTATAATGATTTGATAATGATTTCAGAGACTCAAATCTACAAATATTTTGAGTATTTTCTGTCTAAAGCATCATTCTAACTAATGTGGGTACACAGACATACAAAATAAAAATATTTTTTCTAGTCAATAAAACTACAATCTAAATAAATCGGTAATAAAATATAAACTGATGAATAGTTTAAATATTGCAAGATTTACCTACATGTTCCAGATAACATTAGAAAACAGCAGAGCAGTATATTCTTCATTAGTGAGTAAATAGATTCTTCAAGAAGTGACTCAAGACTTTTTTTTAACCCCCAATTAATTATATAAAGAGGTAAAATATGAAGAGGATACTTAGTTGTGTTAATGACTTATTGCTAGGCTAGTACTATGGCTGACCACCAGAAAACAAAAACCAAAAGTTGTGCTAACATTCATTTGAACAAAGCGAGTCACATGGCCAAGCACAACATCAGTGGGAAGAGAAATTACACCCTGTCCACAATGAGAAGGGGAAGAGAGCTGAAAAATAATCCAATCTATCAGAAGAGCTAATGGCAGATTTCTCTGAAGCAAATGAAAGAAAAGGGAAGGTTGAAAGACTTGAGACATTTCTTTGAACATCACTGAAATAAATTTTAGAAAGGAGAAAGCACACCATTATTTCTATGGCTGAGTGAAATATCAAGTCTGGAGAAAAAACTCCAGTAAACCTATTAAATGCTCTGATTTTGGCTATGGGAAAAGGAAACATGTTAGAGAAGTTATTGGCACACAAAAAACTAGCTGAGTGTTTCTAGTGATTGAATTATATGCACACATCTCCACGTTTTGTCACTGAGAATTGTGTAACTTCCATTACTAGTTTTTGTAGTTCTTTAGAGAAATGGAATGATGCACTTACATCGGATTTTGTTTATCTTTAGATCTCACACTTACGGAATCAAGGACACCTTTTTGTTTCTGGGATTCTGGGTCCCAGGCCTCTGAGAATCTGATTAAAGTTTTGGATCTCTTCCCATATACCCTAAATTTTATACACAGTTTTGGAATTTACTGGACGTGGCGGTCCTCTGAACCCTTTGGTTTAGACAGAAAATTAACTCCATAAAGATACAGATATTCATTTGTTGACTTGAGAAATTTAAGCTATTGTAGTCCACAGTTTTACTGCCTTGTTCTTACATACAGTGTATGTTATATAGTGTTCAATAAAAATGCATGTTAGTTTGTAATGTTCCTATCCAAACTACCATCATCCCTTGCTTTGACAGTGGTCCAACTAGTTTGTCAACATCTGTGACCCTCTCCAGTTGTTTGTTTTTCTCTTCCACAGTACTACCAGACCAATCTCTCTGAAATGCTCACCTGAGGGGAAAACTACCAAAAACCCAAACCAAACCCGTTGCTGTTGAGTTGATTCCAACTTATAGTGACCCTGTAGGACAGAGTAGAACTGTCCCATAGGATTTCCAAGGAGCGGCTGGTGGATTCGAACTGCTGACCTTTTGGTTAGCAGCCGAGCTCTTAACCACTGTGCCACCAGTGTTCCCCTACACCCTTCCGTCCGTATCGCCTACACCCTTGCTTAAAACCCTTCAGTGGCTTCTCTTGTTGTAGGATAAAGACAAAAATGCATTTGGATAGGTGGCAAAGCCCTGCACAGTCTAGCACCTTCTGCTCATCTCTAGCTTCATCTCATCTACACTTCCTGCTCTTTCAGTCCTTCCAGGTGGTCTTATTCTCTCCTGCTTTGGGGCTTTTGTATATGACATTGTCTCAGTCTGGAAACTCTTCCTGTGTTTCTTCATCAGTATATTCCGTACTTATCTTTTGTATCTCAGCTTAAATATCAGTCCGTCACAGAAAACTTTCGCCACCCTCCTAATGAGGTCAAATATTCCTATTGTGGGCTCTCCTGACTCTATGTTAGTCTCTTCGCAGCACTCATCACAGTTATGGTATTACATTTTTGCAACTTTACAAATAATGTGATCATTTTATTAATGTCAGTTTCTTCCAGTAGTCTATAAGACTGTCTTTATTTGCGTTTGTATCCATAATAATCCAAGGATTGATAATTCCCTAATAAATTATGTGAACAACAATAAATGCTATAGGATAGAGAGGTTACTTTGACCTAAAGTAGGTGGGGAAAAGCTTCATGGAGAAGAGACATTTTGAACTAGTTCTAAAAAGTACTGTGGAATTTAGATAGATAAAAAGAAGTTGAACAGATTTTGAGACAGGAATTAAAATATAATCTTTGAAAAAAGTTGGGACAGGAATTAAAATATAATCTTTGAAAACAGTTGGGTGAAGATACACAGTTTTGCATGAACTATTTGTTCATATAAGGGAATGGTAGACTCAAGGCTAGAAAGGTGGGTTAGAACAGATTTCATGAAACAGAGTAGTTGTCTTAGTTGCTGTTGTTGCTGTCATCGTTATTGTTGTGGTTTTGGTGGTGGTTTTTATAGTTTATTTACTCAAATGAGAAAAAAAATGAAAACATTAGCACTGGCAAATCAAGGTTTTTGGTACAATTATAGTTAATTGTAGCCATTGCCAAAGACCAGTGTTCCCAAACCTCATATTTTTAAGGATTTTTGTCATAGCTATAATTCAACATTTTCTGTGGTTTAGAAAACACTAGTATAGAAGCATCCAGTTGGTAAAGCTACCTTGTAATTAAGGCAGTGACTTGAATGCTGAGCAACAAACATATTTGTTTCTTTTGCCGTGATTAAGGATCACCCTATGTAATTATTAGCTTGCTTAGTAAATTCTAGAGAAACTGTTACATGGTATGTTTTTTGGTAAGAGTATTTTAATATTTAATGACTTGTCTATTGGTTGTTATTAGTTAGTTGCTATCGAGTCTGATTCCGACTCATGGCAGCCCAATGTGTTAACAGAGTAGAACTTCTCCATAGGGTTTTCTTGACTGTAATCTTTTTTTTTTTTTTTTAATAAATAAAGAATATTTTCATGGTTTAGATTTTAAATCACATTTACAGATGAGGAAAACTTCTAGTCCCGACTAGGTACCCGTGAAGCTGCTACAGCTGGAAGGAATGCATGCCCAATGTGCATTTTAAACCTAAAGCTCAGAGACTTGAAGGCAGAGAACACCAATACATCACCCTCGAGACTAGATAACTGGAGCTAGAAAGAGTTCAACACTGAGAAAGGTCATCTTGTGAAGTTCATGCAACTACCATCTGATCCCCTCACTTTCATGCTGCAGAGCCAACTGAAAGTTATGTTGCTTTTAGATGAACTAGAGCAGGTTCCCGATCATTTTAACTGAAACTTGCTCGTGTTGATAACAGGCCAGAGGCATTGACTACAGTAGGGTAATTCCGTTGATAAATACAGAACAATATTTGAACAGCAAAGAGAAGGTTACATAGATAATCTTGGTTCTTCAAATATCAGAAACTTCCATATCGTATCAGTAGAGGAATCGAATGAACTCTACCTCCAAAACGCTTAGTCCAAAAACTTCCTGTTGGCATTAGCACCAAAGAAGGCTCCCTGTACTTCTGGCATCATCTGCTGGGCTATGAGATCCAGCCAGCTTTCTAGGGTGTTGGAAACCTTTATTTTACAATCCCCATTGTAGAGCTCAATACCACTGGCTGTGTCCTCAGGAAGGTAGGCCTCCTGATCAACTTGGTTATCAACATCTTTTTTGGTGGTGATTTTCTACATAGGGATTGCTTTTTGCACTGCAGCCTTTACCAGCAGGAAATCCTGTTTCCTGCAATGAACAATCATTCGGGGCTCTAGCAACTGGTATAAATAAACCCTGGAGGACCAGTCCGTCCAGCAGCACTTGGTACCTGGTTGTATCTTTTACCACCTTGCTAAGTCTCTGTTTTGCTTCATTTAGTAGGTCTGTGATAAGGTCATCTCTCACTCTGAGGACTTTCAGTCTTGCTTGATTCATCAAATTGGACATCTGAATTTTCTTCTGCTGCTCGGTTTGGTTTTCTTTCTTCTCATAGTATTCCATAATCTTCAGTCTTTGGGTTTGCACAAGACAACCTTTCTCAGTGCTGAGCTCTTCTGCCTTTGCATCTGTTTCTTCTGCTTTCTCATTGGCTTCTTGTTCAGCGAAAGCCATCATGTACTTAATCTGCTTTTGCACATCAGCATCACTGAGGGCCATGGCGAAAGCTTTGCTAGGCCTGTGGGCAACAAGCTGGAGTTTAGGTTTGAAGAGGGCAGTGGAAGGAACATGAGAGCTTGACTGTAATCTTAATGAAAGCAGATCGCCAGCGTTTTCCTCCAAGGTGCTGTTGAGTGGGTTTGAACTGCCAGCCTTTAGATTAGCAGCTGAGCACAAACTACTTGCCTTCTATAGATCATAATAAATCTACAAAAACAAAAAAAAAAAACCATTGCCGCCCAGTTGATTTGACTCATAGTGACCCTATTATAGGACAGAGTAGAACTGCCCCCCACAGGGTTTCCAAGGCTGTAATCTTTACGGGAGCAGATTGCCAGGTCTTTTCTCCCTTGGATCAGCTAGTGGGTTTGAACCACTGCCCATTCTGTTAGCAGCCAAGAGCTTAACCACTGCGCAGCCAGGCCTCCACGTAACCTACCACGTTGCTTAATTAAATGTTGTGATATAAACATTTCTCCCCTAGTAATAATAAAAATGAATTAAGCAACATTAAAAATATTGAACTTAAAGTAGCATTTTAGTAAATTGATCTTATATCCTCTTCATTATTACAAAATAGTTATAGCTCTCAGATCCTTGTTGTTGTTACTAGGTGCCATCAAGTCAGTTCTGACTCATAGTGGCCCTGTGTACAACAGAATGAAACACTACCTGATCCTGTGCCATCCCCACAATCTTAGCTGTGTTTGAGCCCATTGTTGCAGCCACTGTCAATCCATCTCATAGACAGTCTTCGTTTTTTTCACTGACTCTCTGTTTTACTACTGAGGTTGTCAAAGATCTCATTTTACTTGGATCCACAATCAATGCCCATGGAGACAGCAGCCTGGAACTCAGATGGCATGTTGCATTGGGCAAATCTTCTGCAAAAGACCTCTTTAAAGTGTTAAAAAACAAAGATGTCACTTTGAGGACTAAGGTGTGTCTCACCCAAGCCATGGTGTTTTGAATCACCTCATATGCATGCGAAAGCTGGACAGTGAATAAGGAAGACCAAAGAAGGATTGATGTCTTTGAATTATGGTGTTGACAAAGAATACTGAATATAGTCTAGACTTCCAGGAGAATGAACAAGTCTGTCTTGAAAGAAGTACAGCCAGAGTGCTCCTTAGAAACAAGGATGGCAAGACTTCATCTCATGTACTTTGGACATGTTATCAGGAGGGACCAGCCCCTGGAGAAGGACATCATGCTTGGTAGAGGGTTAGTGAAAAAGAGGAAGACTTCAACAAGATGCATTGACACAATGACTGCAACAATGGGCTCAAACATAATGATGATTGTGAGAATGGAGCAGAATGGAGCAGCATTTCATTCTGTTGTACACAGGGTCGCTATGAGTCAGAACTGACTTGGCAGCACCTAACAACAACTACTTTACCCAGCATGATGTCCTTTTCCAGGGCTTGGTCTCTCCTGATAACATGTCCAAAGTATGTGAGACAAAGTCTCGCCATCCTCATTTTTAAGGAGCATTCTGGTTGTACTTCTTCCAAGACAGATTTGTTCATTCTTATGACAGTCACAGTATATTCAGCATTCTTTGCCAACACCATAATTTAGAGGCATCAGTTCTTCTTTGGTCTTCCTTATTCATTGTCCAGCTTTTGCATGCATGTGAGGCAATTGAAAATATGATGGCTTGGATCAGGTTGCACCTTTAGTCCTCAAGGCACCAGATGCTTAGCTTTTATCACAAACCTTAAAATTGTTACTTGAAACCAACCTTGACTTGCTATTTTATTTTTTTCAAGCATTTTTTAATTGTTTCTCACAATTAAAAAGGTCTAAGATGTATGTGTATTTTTTTTTTAAATCTTGCATAATCTTACGTTTGGAAGTTTCTATTTGTGTAGGTTGGTTGGATGGCACGTTTATGTTCTTAGGTATTTTAATTTCTTTAAAATGGAGTACTTTTTTTTTTATTGTTGTAGTTTAAGTGAAAGAGTTTACGTTTCAAGTTAGTCTCTCATACGGAAACTTATACATACACTGTTATGTAACCCTAATTGCTGTCCCCAGACTGTGACAGCACACTCCTCCTTTCCAACCCTGATTTCCCATGTCCACTCAACCACCTCGTAACCCTCTCTGCCTTTCATATCACCTCCAGACAGAAGCTGCCCATTTAATCTCATGTATCTACTTGAGCTAAAAAGCACACTCTTCACAAGTATCATTTTCTGTCCCACAGTCCAGTCCAATCTTTGTCTGAAGAGTTGGCCTTGGGAATTGTTTTAGTTCTGGGTTGACAGAGAGTCCAGGGGCCATGCTTTCTGGGGTTCCTCCAGTCTCAGTCAGACCATTAAGTCTAAAATGGAGTACTTTTGTGTCACATCCCACCAAGTGGCATAAAAGCCATTGCTGACAATAAACTACTTTCGGAGTTCTAAGTTAAACTTGGCTTCACGCTTCCCATTGTATGGTGGAACGGACGTGCTGGGCTTGCTTGATGGCTTCCTCATACTGGGACTAGATTATAGTGCCGTACGTTTATTTGTATAGAAATTTTGTGAGAAAAAGGATATTTTAGGTCACTCATAGTTGTCAGCTGCTGACAGTAATCACATAATAGTAAACTTGCAGTGTAAATTTTGATGCTTTATTGTAATGAAGTCTATTCTGCCTGGTGTGTGCATGATTTTTGATTAGAGATTGGCAATTGTGTATTCCCAAGGAAAGGAGGGAAGGGTGTATTTCCCAACAGTACAGCAATCTAAGCAAGATCTTGGACCAGAGTTCAAACATAGTCTCCAGGCTATTTGAAAAATTGACATAAAAAAGTTTTGAATTACACTGGTCTTTAAAGTTGAGACTTAATCTAGCAGTTTTGACCCATGCTTAAGGAACCTATTTTATTACAATTTACCTAAAAATAGTTCTCTTAGTATTATCAGGGGAACTGTGGAATTTTCCCTCTATTTATGAAAATTCCTGGGTCTTTCCAAGTGTCTGTAGTCCAAAAGTATGCTCTGTAACTTGTATTACCCTGAGGGTCTTTATAGGAAATTTTAGCATCTATCATGCTCAACTTGTTAATTCTGCCAAATTCTTCAAGAAGGCAGTATTACTCCTAGAAAGAGCATGGGAAACCTTGGGGCTCATCTGGGTTTGAAATTAAGCCCAGCTAACTACTTGCTATGTGACTGACTTTGGGCAAGTAATTGAACCTTTTAGTACTTCAGTTTTTTTTCTTTGTAAAATGGGATTAAAGTCTCATGGGTTGTTGTTCTATAAGACTGGTAAAGTTTTGGGAGTGTGTGCTGTGAAATTAAATGAAATAATTCACATAAAGCTCTTAGCACAGTACCTGATAGTAACTGCTGTATATAAACTAGCTAATTGCTTTATGGTTTTTATGTGTGTTGCATAGACTGTTGTGTTCTCCTATAGAAAGTATAATGGTTCTAGTCCTATTTGGTAGGTTTTTTTTTTTTTCTTTTTCGAAAGCATATATTTCTAAACAGTCCAGAAATTTATGATGAAATCACTTACCTTGACATATTGCTTCATTTTTAATGGTTGTTACAGGCTATGCATTCCTTCTCTTTCAAGAAGAGAGTTCAGTTCAGGCACTAATTGATGCTTGTATTGAAGAAGATGGAAAGCTCTATCTATGTGTTTCCAGCCCTACTATCAAAGACAAGCCAGTAAGTAAATCCTGCCTCATCTTCAGTATACAAACACAAGTTTTCCAGAACTGTTTTTGAAATAATTGTTAATGAATAAAGAAATAAGCTACCATGTTAAGAGTTCAGGTTTTGAAACATTGAGATTCTGTTTAGTACCTATATTAAAAATAATAATTTGTTTCCAAATTCATATATCTAAAATTTTAGATAATAAAAGGACCACTGTTAGCTGGCAAAACAGCATAAGCTATCAACATATAAGATCTAATGCAGTAATGTAACTTTCTTCATAGGTTCAGATCCGTCCTTGGAATTTAAGTGACAGTGATTTTGTGATGGATGGTTCTCAGCCTTTGGATCCCCGAAAAACAATTTTTGTTGGAGGTGTTCCTAGACCATTAAGGGCTGGTAGGTAGAATATTAAATTTCATTTTCTAAAAAATCTTTTAAATATGAATTATTCAATTCACTAAACACGTACTGTGCACATGGCACTATTGGGTGGGGGAGGAGCAGATGCCTCATGTTCCAATCGTTGCTAACTTCAGAATCCTGAGACAAATTCTGAGAACTTTCTTGAAACTCTCAAATAACTGGAGAATGTATGCTCATCTAGCAATATTAATAGCTAATTCCAAGTAGACTCTGAGAAGGATCTACTTAAATACTTCTGACTTTGTAAGTGGAACTTTTTAAAATATAAGAATTTTGGGTGTTTTTTTGTTTGTTTTTGTATTTTAGCTATAAACTAAAGTAGTGGCTTAGTTGAGTGAGTGATCATCAATAATCAGGAATCAGAGATCAAGCAGATCTCCTATAGGAACATAATTACAGACTTACAGATTTCAAGGAACAGGATGTTAGTGATGGCTATAGAGAGATTAGATTCTAGATATATCTTGAAAATGAAGCTTATAGATTAGATATGCAGTGGGAGTGGGGGAAGAACTGTCAAGATAGCGCCAAGGTTCTTGACTTGGCAACTTCATCCTTCTCGATGCTCACTAACTAGGTGGACAAAAACTCATCGGAGGAGATTTGATGAAGTGAAGAAGGTCAGAAGTTCCATTTTGAACACTGTTGCAGTGTCTGTTAGCTACCAGTATGATTTGCCCAGTAGGCAAATGAGTTTGGAGTCTAGGGGAGAGGTTCAGGGTAGAGATAAGGATTTAGGAACTGAAAACATATTTGTTGTTGTTACTGTGTGCCATCAAGTGGATTCTGACTCACAGTGATGATACAGGTCAGAGTAGAACTGTCCCATAGGGTTTCCTAGGCTGTAATCTTTACAGGAGCAGGTCACCAGGTCTTTTCTCCCACGGAGCCCCTGGGGAGTTCAAACAACAGACCTTGATATTTAAAGCCATGACACAGGATAAAGTCACCAAAGCCATGAGTGTAGATAGAGGTCCAAGGACTGGAACTTAAGGCACTCTGACATTAAAAAGCCAAGAAACTGAGGAGGAGGAGCTAGCAATGAATTATCAGTGAGGTGGAAAGACAATTAGGAGAATAGTGCATCCTGGAAGCCAGCTGGAGAACATGTTTCAAAGAGGAGGAAGGGATTCACTATGTTAAATGTTGTTTATAGGTAGATTGACCATTGGACTGACTTGGCAGTGGGGAAGGGAAGGTGAACTTGACAAGCAATTAAAGTGGGGTGGGGGGATAAGTGAAAGTGTTATAGGCAGTCCAACAAAGAACAGGAGGAGAGCAATTGGGGAGTACAGAAAAATGTTGGAGTAATTTAGCTATAAAGGGCAGCAGAGAAATGGAGCAGTTGCTGAGAGGGGAGAGAGTTTTTGTTTTGCTTTGTTTTTTAAAGATGGGGCAAATAACAGTATACTTGTATGCCAATGGAAATAATCCAGTATACAAAGAAAAATAGATGGTGTAGAAGGGAGAGGGGAGAATAGCTGAAGCAGTGTCTTTCTATAGTGAGAGTAGATAGGATCCTAGTACAAGAAGTCCCCAGCTTACTGTGGGGTTCCGTTCCGATGACTGCTTCGTTAAGTTGGTTCTGGCATAAGTCAAACACTTCATTTTGTTTAAGTTTTCATTATTATTGCCTTTTATTATCAGTATCTTTATAAATCAGTATCTTTGTCTATGAGGTTGGCATGAGAATAACATCGACATTGTATGTAGTACATATTACTACATACAATAAGATGTACCAAAAAAAAAGAGGATGGTCGTAAATGCAGTTCATCATAATTCGCATATGTGGTAAGTCAGGGACTACCTGTATATAAATGAGAAGGTTGGACTTAGAAAAGAGCATGAACTGTTTATAGTACCAGAAGAGAAGATAGTATATGGTGGGTACAGTACCTGTAAGTGGGTAGATGTGGTAGTGGTGAGTCTGTCTTTATATTGAAAAACAAAAGGGAAGTGGGGAGAGTTCTTTGATTCCAGTTTCTACTTTAACAACTGCCTCTTTTCTGCCATCTTCTGCTGGTCAAATGTTACTGTCCTGTTGACTTTTACTTGTAAAAGTACTTAAGAATTGTTGTTTTGTTGTGTTCTCTCACATTTGATGTGAACTTTTTCTTTTGAAGTGGAACTTGCTATGATAATGGACCGGCTGTATGGTGGAGTTTGTTACGCAGGAATTGATACAGATCCTGAGCTAAAATACCCAAAAGGTGCTGGACGAGTTGCTTTCTCTAATCAACAGAGCTATATTGCTGCCATTAGTGCTCGGTTTGTTCAACTTCAGCACGGTGATATTGATAAACGTGTAAGTTACATATTGTGAAATCCCTTATAAGGTGTGATGCAAAGCTTACTACCCTAAGTAGTTAATAATTTGTTACAAACAGAGTGTTCATTTTTCTATAGACTTTTAGCTTCTGGAGTTAAAGAGTATTGCATCAAAATACCCTTGAAATGTATAATTCTTGAACATACTTTAAAATGTAGGTATAATATAAAAAATGTCATTCTAAAGATATTTCATATTTTTTATCAGCCAGTAAGATTGAGTTGGAATCAACTCAACGGCAAAACGGCAATAGATTTTGGGTTTTTTAACCATGGAGCCAGTGCTTGCTTTAAGAGCTTGTACTCTGGAGCCAGACTGCCTGGGATTGAATCCCATTTCCAACATTTACTCTGTTCTGCTGGGCAAATTAACCCTCTCTATGCCTATCTGTCCTCAAATGTAAAATGGAAAACAATAGTAGTACCTATCTCACAGTTATTTTTAGGATTATATATAAGAAGCACTTAGAACATAGTAAGTGCTATGTAAGTGTTGGCTATTTTTTATTTGTTGTGAAATCTAAAATTAAAATATATTGTGTACTGTTCCCTAAAATAATTGTCCTAAACTTTAAAACATTTATTCTTTAATAGCATTGCCTAAGTTATCACAATAAGAACTTTTAAGAAGTCCTATGAATATCTGAAAACCAACCTATTGACTAATTCCTAGGACTGATTACCCTCTAAAATAGGGAAGAGGAGTGAAAAAAACTTAGTTGTTCATTTACAAATCTATTTCAGACTAAATTCTGTGCATAGTTCTCAGTTGTCCATAGCTACAAAGTATCCTAAAATAATCACGTATGGTACCCATGAGATATACTAAGAAGAAGGGGTAAATGAACTTTTTTATATGCAAATTAATAGGCATAGCTTGAATTGGTACTTATTTTCCCAATGAAACAGTTTCTTATTTTTCCAGTGTAAGAGTTTCTTCAAGCCCCTTCTCTGAAGCTGTTTGTACATTAAAAGAGTATTTTGGGGGATAGAGGGACTAGGCCACGGACTCTAGAAGTAATCATCAATTCAATTGCCAAACCAATCCAGTTTCGAAAAGTAGTACAGCATGGAGTCCCTGGGTGGCTCAGACTGGCCAGTACTCAACTACTAGCCGAAAAATTGGCAGTTTGAACCCACCCAGATGTGTCTCGGAAGACAGGCCCAGCAGTCTGCTTCTGAAAGGTCACAGCCTTGAAAACCCTATGGAGCAATTCTACTCTGTGCACATGGGGTCACCATGAGTCAGAATCAACTGATGGCAACTAACAACAACAACGGTACAGCACAGGTTCAGTTCATAAATGCACAGTGGCTTTCTTATGTGCATTGTCATTTCAAATGTTACTCCCAAAAAAGTTAAGTATCTTAGAAGAGGGGCTCTGCTTTTATTCAGACATACATAAACTTTTTGAACTGGTTTGAACTTTAGAACTCCTAATCCAGTGGTTTTCAACTTTGGCTGCACACTGAAATCACCTGGGAATTTTCACAGATTTCAGTGCTTGTCTCCCTGCCCCACTCGCAGATTCTGATGTAATTGGTCTGAGATACAGCCTGGACAACAGGCCCTTACAAAGCTCCACAGGTGATTGTAATGCACAGCCAAGGTTTAGACAGCTGGTCTAGTCTGACCCTTTGTTTTTGCAGAAAGGTGAGATGGTCACAGAGGAAGTTATTTACATTGTATATAACTGTGGTTGTTTAATGTGCAGAAGCAGAAGGAAAAGATGGCTGCAGTGTCCTACCTCATACCTCCGTGTTTCCAAATAGTGAAGGATCAATTATTTTGGGTGCAGTATTGATTTTTAAATAGCAACTCAGGTGCAGAGCAGGTGATTTGAGAAACAGGTGCCTTCTTAAAAAGGCCATATTAAATTTAGAACTGACAGCCCAAAGATACACAGGATACTTATTGGGAGAGGATTAAAATTATTTACTCAACTTACTTTTTAGGCTCTTGGACACTTGGGAGATAGGTTTAGCTCCTAACTCCTTGAGAACTGGAGACCCAATCACTACACAGTGTAATTCATTGTGTTTTTTGTGCAGTATTCCATAAGTAATGAATTCACTTCTGGTAGAGACTAAAGTGAATTGTGTTATCCATCAAATTGAATATTAATATTTCATTAGTTATGAATTCATTTAACAAAGTATTACTGATTTGGTCTTCTGACGTGAAAAAGGAAGAACAACATAATGGAAAGTAAGAATAGGTGAAGAATTGATGAAATTCCTTTTCACGTATACAAGAGTTAATTGTTGGGATATTATTATTTATCAAAAAAAGATTTTGATTGTATTATAAAATCATAAGTTTGGGATCCTATTTTCCATCTTTGAAAACTGTGTTTTAAGTTAAATAGATTAGCTTCATAAAATAATTTCTAGGATTAAAAAATTCGAGTAATTGAAATCATTGCATTTAAGAAATTTTTTTCAACCACTTTAAGCGGTTCCCGAGCACAAGACATTTTATTAGGTTCTGTGGAAATGAAGTAAAAATATAGACCTCTTACACTAAAGACAAGAAATCTTCCTGAGGAAGAAACCTGCAAAGCATATGCACATGTACCACATTTATTCAACGTCTTTTTTTCTGTCTTTGTAGGTGGAGGTAAAGCCATATGTGCTAGATGACCAGATGTGTGATGAATGCCAGGGCGCACGCTGTGGTGGGAAATTTGCTCCTTTCTTTTGTGCCAATGTCACTTGCCTGCAGTATTACTGTGAGTTTTGTTGGGCAAATATCCACTCTCGTGCAGGACGTGAGTTCCATAAGCCATTGGTAAAGGAAGGTGCTGATCGCCCACGTCAGATCCACTTCCGCTGGAACTAAGAATAGCAAACTGGCGTCTGTTTAAGGAGAGAAAGGGTGCATGTGGCTTACTATGTTTGAAGATACTGACCTGCAGAAGAAATAAGTGCATTCTTCTGCTTTTCACCCCAGCTATGAATACATGCATCTTTATCAGCAGCCAAAACACTACAAGCCTCTTGTTTTTCACCAAAACCCTACATCTCAGGCTTACTGATTTTTGCGATATTTTCATGTTAAAATAAAATGTTTTTTTGTATTTTCTCCAAGTTATTTTTATATATAAAGTGAAAATTAGATATGAGAATGTTTTGCGCAGGGGCAACACAGTTTGCTGCTATATAGTGGGTGAAGCGTGCACTTATTTCTAAACATGGGTTTTTAACTTCAAGATCTGCCCCAGTAATTTACCAAAGGTAGCAAAATAATAGTGAAGATGGAATATGTCTGCTACAAATGCTTATTTTTATTGTTGCTATTTTCAGTGTATACATAAACTAAAAATTAGGGTTGATTTTTTGCTCTCCATTTTGACTTGCAAGAAATAATACCTCAAGATAATCTGATTTATTAGCTATTTTTAAACATTTTTAATCACAAGCTGTATTAGCTTTGCTGCTATATAGGTGTTATGTGTAAATGCCACCTATTAATACGGGATTGAAAACGTTAGAGACACACTGCATTGCAGATAAAATGCAGGCAGCACAATATGGCCTAAACTGCCATAGTTTTAGAATGTGAAAAAAAAAAAA